CACTAATACTCAAGTACTCACTGTGCCACTATGTTAGCGACAGATGACTGCAGCGCTGTGATACAACAGACCATCACGTTTCTAACAGCACACACTAAGCAGCATTATGAGTAGACTGTAACACCAGTGAGACTGCTGAACATCAGAGAGCCGACGTGTTGCCTCGCTGTGACACGTAGCCTAACGACGCTAACTACCGTCACCCTCCGACGAGCTAACGCTAGCTCCGGAGCCTCGCGCACATCCGTTGGAGCACAGACATAACCGCCGGTACACATCTCGCGCTGTGAAGGATACTTTCCAGTCCGATGTTCCCGTCCGGTGAATTCTTCTTGTTTTCATCCATGGAGGAAACTTTGGCTTCGTTCTGCTTGTCTGCGGCCATCTCTAAATGCTAACAGCTAACACACACAGACACACAGGCGCATGCTCAGTCAGAAGTAGAACCGGTGACGACAGGGGGGAGGGGCAACGCGACACCCAAATCTCGCGAGATTTGGCGTATATAAATAAATTGCAAAATTTTTAAGCAACTTCATGAGCAACTTGACATTCAAGAACAGCAGAAGAGTAAATCAATGGAGGAAGCAATACATAATGGCATAAAATGTTTATAATATATATATAATATCACAGATATTACTGAGGAACTATCTGCCTAGTTCTAGAGGGATTACAAATGCATATTTTACTTAATTTACTCCCAATTCTAAGTCCCTGTTGTACACAGTTTAGCCATATTATATATTCAGCCATATGATCCAAAGCTCTAGATCAGCTAGAACATGGACTTTGAGGTGAGACTGTCTTCCAGAGTCAATATTAATCTTTGAACCTCAGTACTGACTCACTCACTAAGTATCATCAGTCAACTAATTTACAACAGCTGAAATGGCCAAATTAATAAATACATAAATAAAATATCAGAGACATTCTGTATATTTTATTAGAAAGTGAGTCACAGCAAACATGTATCCAAGTCCTCCTGCAATGTAAATACAACTCTGTTCATTTCAAACCAGATCACATGCAGTAAAAACATGAAGATGAGCTCTCCACAGAGGAAGTACTGAGAGGAGGCAGTAGAATGAGTGCAACCATGGGTTTGTGCACATAAACTTTGACACTGAGCACATCCCTTTCACAAATTTTGACCAGTGACAAAAATAGTTTCTTTTAGTTTCACAAGCACAGACTCTATTCAGACGTTGTCGGCAGCAGAAATGTATCTGGAGACAAAGTTCTTGATCTCAGAGATGTGCATGGTCTCTTTGATGGTGGTGTCTCTGCTGCGGACTTGAAGGAGGCCGCTCTCCAGTGTGTTCTCACTGATCATCGCAGTGAAGAGCACTCCCATCTCATCATACCTAAAAATGCATCGACAGAGACGCAGATACACACATGAGCAAAAGAGAAACGCTGCAGAAATAACTGCCTTTGCTTTCAGAACAAGACACTTTACTTTGCAGTCAGCTGCTCCATTGATGTTGATTGAGTGTCGAGATACCCAGGCCACGCAGAGATCTCAGCCTCCATAAACTCCTGCAGCAGCCCTTCACAAACCTACAAGATAATGAAATACTCATTAATCTGGTTTGACTAATGCCAACACAGTGAAGTTCAATTAAGTACGTTAGTGCTGATTCTATCACAGTCACTCATAAGATTCTTCTCACCCAGCACTTGACACACCTTTTAGACTTGGATTCACAAAGATTTAATCTAGATATATATATTTAAAAAATCTATTAATCATTGATGTCAGCTGTTACTACATGTTTTTCTTACCTGCCTCAGCTCCATAGTAGCTCCTCTGCCAAGGTCTAAAGCCACTTTGACTGGAGCCAACACTGGATGCAACTTCAGAACCTGAAATCAACAGTGAACCAAAACTCAGATTTAAAATCACAACACAAAGGAGGAAAATGTCTCTCCAGCTAACAGTTTGGGGGCCATCACCTGTCTCTGCTGCAGCTTCTGCTTGCCGTCTACATTCTTGAGCAGCAGGAGTGAGTTGGATAGAAAGGCCATCACACCACGGTCCATGTTTCCGGTTAGAGAGACAACGTGAGGAACTGTCTTCCGACCATTTCGACACTGAAAGACAATGAACACTGCATGTGAACACACTGAAGAAAGGAAGCAAGAGTGGTGTAGAGCTATTTGTGTTTCTTATTATAAGATAGTTTTACCACAATGGAAGACATTAAACATATTTACTTAAACCTCCTACAAGGAGTTTTACCTGGATATGAAACTGTCAAGAAATGCCCATGTGTTTATATATATCATTGATGAGGGCTAAATTCAGTTCAAACACGTGTTTCAGTAAGCCATGCTGGGAAACCATCATGCACAACAGCAGAGCCCCAGATATGCAAAACTGAACGGGATGCAGCCATGTTGTTATTACTCCCGCTTTTCCTGTATTTAAATGTTAAAATGTGATAAAAGTCTGTTGCCACAGAATAACACACAGCACTGTTTTGCTTTGGCTGTTTCTCTGTTGTGTCCCAGTAATTCATGAGGATGTGACAGTGTGACAGCACGCACAATACCAGGAACCTGAAAATGAAGCAGCTAAATGGAATTCAGCCATCATTAATTGTATATTTCTGTGATTTTTGAACTGTCAAAAAAGGCCTAAAGGGGAAACTTTTTATTTCATTGTTCTGCCCTAGTTTAGACCAACAGAATTAAAAGACAAGAATCGGAAAAAAAATCTTTATTGTACATCACAAGTTCAAATATATCTTTTCCATGACTCACAATTTGGTAAAAACAAAACAGTACAAAGCGTTAAAACAAAGTTTATTTTGTCACTGGAACACCCTGCACTTTTTTACTATATACTATAGTGTTTAAATGACTAAATGAACCTACAGTAATTAACCTCAATCTGCTGTCCAGGTGTTATTAACCGTTATATACAGTCATTTTTCTGGAAGTATCCATATAATAAGTGTGATTGTTAGATTAACGCTGTTAACTGCCAAGCTTTAATCACCTCTGTGCAACTTTTAAGCAACGACAGCTTGACAGGTGCAAAGAAAAAATTCAACGTAAAAATAGAAAGCACACACACACACACACACACACCCACAACACACACACAACACACAAACACAGCACACCACACCAGCACCACACACACACCAAACACACACACACACACAGCAGACTGACCTGTAGTGTGGAATGGGCTCCTTCGTGTGTGTGCAGCAGCTCAGTGTTTCCTCTGCTCCACAGCGTCTCCAGGGGCTCCTGACCCCATGGGAAGCTATAGACGATCCTCACGCCACGAGAAGCCGCCTCCTCGAGTTCCTCCTCCGGAACGTCACTACTGCTGAAGTCTGATGGAGACAGGGCAAACTGGAAAGACATGGGTTGACTTGATGTAACTTAAGTCATCTTGATGTTAGGTTAGAGATACACTCCGCAAATCTCCTCCTAGCTCAATGTGGAATTTCTTGAAGGAGGATCAGGGAGTATATCTTTAACATAAATATAGATAGATTTTTAGATCTCTTCACACTGGACTTAAATGGTTATTTAATTTAAGAAGCCCATAAAAATAGGACCATATCACTTTTTTGTGCTCCAGCACTTCAGAATATTGGCGTAATATAAATAATTTACTGTAAAACTACCTTGTGATTATAAATATATTGCAATCCAAGCAATATGTGATAATATATCTTCTGTAATTTGAGTAATTATTAAGATCTGTTCAGCTTGAATGCATTTCCTCTGAAATACTTCAACAGGAACAGAATTCCTTGTGTAGAAATATATCTGACACACATTCCCACCTGCAGTCTCAAGCTGTTTGGAAACTGAAGAAGAAAAAAGTACATTTATATAAATACAGGTTGTTGATATTCTAGGAATTCTACTGCAAAACTGATTTTTATGTCAATGTTTTTGTTTTTCAAAAGTCTTCTCACCACATTCTCTTTAACTGTTGACCCAAAAAATCAGTAAAATGAGCGAACAGGGAAACACTGCCTCAAATACTCACTTTCCTCCACCACTTCAGTCTCTGTCGCGTCCAGTGATCCAGCCACTGGGAAGAGGTACGAGGAGAGCAGAACCACACCAGAGACGTCTGGGTGACCTCAGCGGAGCTGGCAGAAAAAAGATTAATTCTTAATAAATCAAACTTACAGTAGCACCACACAAATGTGTTTTATAAATGTATTTAAATAGTACTATTCTGTTATTAAATACAACAATTTTTTAAAGCACAGACATTTATTACCTCGAAACCAGGACCACTCTGCCCTCTAGTGGTTAAATAATAAACAGTGTACAACAATATAAGTGCAAACAATTACTGACATCACATCCATCAATGATGAACACAAGGGCAAGCTGACTGTATGCTGTGTGATGTGCTACAGTCAAGTCTATAATAAAGTAAAATGTTTTTGTTTGCAAAGTGCAATAAGAAAAACATTAATCTATCAAAACATATGTTACTCGTTCATACTGACATACGTTCTCATAGGATTAGCAGTCATTGAGTTGTTCATACTGCTCCCACGGTCAGAACAGAGGGTGGAAAAGGTGAAAACATTAAGTCAACATCTTTTTTCATGTAACATACTGGTGGAATTAATATAAACTTATCAAGCAATATTAAGTATGTAGGAGCAAAACGTGTGTCCTCGTCCCACCCACAGACAGACAGACAGGCAGACAGACAGACAGGATGGAGCCTCACCAACCAGAACCATCTGAGGGCTGGAAACACAGTCCGGTCTCAGCCAGGCCGAAGGGCAGCTTCCTGTTTACGAGCTCCAATGAAGGGACAAACTCCTCCAAGGCGCCTGAGAACAAACCAGATGTTCTGTTCTGATGTTTTAATCCAACAAAGTAAACGGACCTTTGTTCTCCCCTGATCAAAATCTGACTGGTACAATATTTGGTTCTAATCAGTGGTTAATCTACTGATATACCTGATCCAATATTTATTTATTATTTTAACCAGCGGATGTGGAGGACTTTCTTCCACTGAATTGAGGCTTTCATGTAGAATTTCTCCTGAGGATTAGTACAAATCCCAGCTCCTCTGCAGACTGTTAACAACCCCAATCCTAACCACTATGATCCTAAACTAAAATATTTGACTGAGCTTGAACTGGGATTGACTCACAAGAAAGTCAATTAAAAACTACCAGTTATTACTTAGTGGTCTATGTTGCCATCACCTTGCTGCACAGACCAAACTTCATTCTATTATAACATTATACAGTCTAATAGTGCAAATATGACTCTATATTGCAGCACTGTACCTTGGAGGAGGTCTGTCCTCACAGGTGGAGACCTCTGTAGGAGCATTTGTACCTTCTGGACGAGCTGCTCCCTGCTCAGTTCTTGCTGTTCAAGAATTTGTTTTACATGTTCAGACTCCACAATCCTCAGTCCACCTGTAGCTGTGTCCTTCCTGCTGCTCAGAGTGTTTATCCCAAACACCTGAGACTTGGACCTGGTCACGGAGCGCCACCACTGCTCCAGCAGGTTCCTCTTCAGCTCCATGCCCAGAGGTCCATAACTGCAGCTCCTCCCACGCTGAAACAGCTCTGTGTTAGTCTGACCAGGTGAGATGTAGTATCTGTTCGCACACAGCTCTAAGAAAGTCCTGAGCGGATCCAGATCCTCGCTCGGTGAGGTGCTGCTGTATCTCCTGGTGTGCTGCAGAGCCAGGGTCATGCAGCACTGAGAGGTTTTTGATTTGGACAGACGCCCCGACAGGACGTCTCTGACACAGTGAGTTAACATGAGGCCTGAGAGAAGTGACACATTGGGGAAGATTGTCTGTTAAAAGTGGTGAATCCTCATGGGTAACGCCCCTTTTTACGGTCCAAATACACCTTAAACGCTCATATAAAACAAAGTACGTTAAGTTATGCCTGATATGCACACACTCAGAGAGAGGTGATTACTTTATCCTCCGTCTGCTAACAGCACGTAGCCACCGCGGATGCTAGTGCCCGTTGGTGCAGTTATACGATAATAATGCACGAGCCTGACAGATGTTCATTACATTAATATTTAACAATAAACCGCTGGGCAAAGTTTGAAACTCATGGATTACATGTGATAAACGACCCGAAACCGGAACTGATAGCTTTACATCCGGGTTACTTTGTGTGACGTGGTGCATTTAGCGTCCTGACCATCGGCATATATTATAATCTATTGTAATATAATATAATATGTTATTTTATATTACAATATAATATATTACAGTATATTATATTACAATGTATTATATTACAACTAAATGTAAATTCTCCTGTTTTCTGTTACTCATTACTTTTAAACATATATATTTTATTGTGATAATATAAGTAACAAAGTTATAAAATATATATATATTTTTTTTTATTTTGTTGGCAAAATACTTTATTCATAAATAAAAAAAATTGGGTCACAACCTTTTTTCTGATTTAATCTCTCATGTCTAAAGGTTTGCTTTTCTTCTAATATCTGTTCTTATTAATCTATTTTGAGTTGTATTCTTTTATTTATAGATGTGATGATGTGAATTTTTAAAATCTTTTAAACCCTTCATTTTCAATACTTGCATATTATTGTTGTAGTTATCAACATATTGTATTATGTTGTTACTTGTGGCTGACCAAATTTGTTTAATTGTTGAATTAAGTCTCTTAACTTACATGTTTAATGTTATTTATTAATTTAACATTCAATTGTGTATGCTGTTTTATAATAGTATTACTTTTACCCAAATGCTGTTGCTTTTCATGTTTATACAAAAGGAAGAACTGAATAAAAAATGTCCTTGTTGGATCACTACATTTAAAGAAATACTGCAATCATCCTACACTTAAGGGTAGCTTTTAAATTGTATGTGAGCTGTAGAAAAAGAGTTAGTAAAACACCCAAATACTACAACTACTACCTCCCTGAACAAAGGGAAAAACTTGATATGCTCCAAAAACATGGGACAGGGACATCCAGAGGTTGTAAACAACCATGATGCCCAGTTATATGTGACATTGTTTCTCACAAGTCAGCTCAATATTGGTATATTAAGTGTGGTAATCTACCTTCTAAGACGCATTAAAACTAAAAGGGTCCTAATTCAGGTCCTAATGAAAAATTGAGGTCTAAATATTCTTCCAACCCAAACTTCCCACACAGACAACAACAACATCCCATTTTCTTATTTTTATTTAAAAGGGCCACACGCACCCTTTTTATATCTTCATAACATCACTTTAAACATACCACAAACTGAAAACACTGCATTACCTAGTAAAAATAAATTACTGAGGAATGTTACAAAAAAAACAGTCAAGGAAAAGTGCAGCAATCAAAGTTGCACTATAGGAGACGCGTCTATGACTCCATTTAATGCTCTGGGTTAAGTGAATAATTCCAACCCTGCTGTAAGCAAAACAAAGTTAAACAGTACAAAGGATAATAATAATAATAATAATAACAATAATAATCATCATCATCATACTGTAAGATTTCAAGACTAAACAAAAAATCATGTTGGTTCCATATATTGTGCGTATATCATATCTACTGTGGGAAGGGTGGTGGCATGGGGTAGGGCACCATTGGTGGTGGGGGTGGTGGCTGCTGGGCCTGTGGTGGCGGCGGCTGAGAGCTGAATGGGAACGGCGGGTGGTTCATGCCATTCTGAGCGGCCCTCTGCATGGCCCCGAACTGAGGGGGGCCCTGGAAGTTTTGGTTACCAAAGGCACCCACCTGGTTTGCTGGAGCACCAAAATTACCCTGTCCATTGCTGTTGCTATAACTGTTGTTGCCATAACTACCACTAGAGCTACCACTGTTACCTCCATAGCTGCCACCATTTTGGGCCTTATTGCCACCAAAGGCACTTTTCGGCCCACTGCCAAACCCTCTATCACTGTCCCTGTCCCTGTAGCTACTACCGCCAAAGTTGCTCCTCCCGCCCCCGGAATACCTATCCCGACGGTCATCCTTGTAGCCACCTCTTCCCCCCCTTCCGCGACCTGGAGGAGAAGTACACAGGACAGGGACAAAAAGAGAGAGCGAGAGAGACTATTAATACACTGAACCTACAACATGTCAACAATAGTAGTAGTATTAGTAAATAATAACCAGAGACGCTAGTTAGATAAATAAAGCCCCTTTCAGACATGTAATTAGTAACATCCATCTGTTAAAGTGATGACATGAGTGTCTGTCACATGGATGTTATTATATTTTTGATGTCAATTGGTTTGCTTTTCTTCTGTCTGTTCTTATTTACATATTTTGAGTTTTATTCTTTTATTTACTGATGTGATGATTATATGCATTCATTTTCTTGTTTTTTTTAACCCTTCATATTTAATACATGTATATTATTTTTGTTATCAGCTCTCTTGTATTATGTTGTGTTCTTAATTGTGCCTGACCAAATTTGTAAATTGTCTTTGTTGAATCAGACTTGCTGCTGTATTGAAATGTTTGATTGCTGTCAAATATTTACTTAATGAAGTTCATGTCTGAAAGGGACTTTGACAGGTCAAAGATGATGTAATTTTATCCAAAACATCTAGGTTGTAAGTTCCTAATAAGAGACATAACAAGATGAATCAGTAACACTTAAACACATACTAAAGTCAAGCCTAAGACTGAATTCTCTACTAAAAGATACACTGCATCTTCCCTGAAGACGTATCGGGTTTTACCTCCTCTGTCCTCTGCCATCTGGATCAGTTTGGGGTTAATGGCCTGGTTGGCCTCGCGGAGCACAGAGATCAGGTCACTGGCTTGTTTCATGTTGTTGGGGGTGAAGAAGGTGTAGGCAGTGCCCGTTTTTTGACTTCGGGCTGTGCGTCCAATGCGGTGGATATAATCCTCGGAGGAGTTAGGGTAGTCATAATTGATGACAAATTTCACATCCTCCACATCTGTGAAAGTGTTGCAGTGTGGCAAAACAAAACATGGAGGCCACACAGGATTTTGCACACCACAACAGCCAGATCAAAGGGAAAAGTTAGCAGCTGTGAAGGCTGAGGGAAGAAATTGGTCATTAGGCTGTGGAGGAAACGTGTTAAAACAGCATAAGATTGTGTACATATCTACTCCATGGGAATACTACTGTGGGAAGAGAGAAACGATGCACACTCCAATTGCTTACCATAATCATAAAGACCCAAAAGACGTTCACTCTCCCTTTTGTTAACCAAGGGAGAAAAGAAAAATGGATTTAAGTCTTACCATAAAGGAGTATGCATTCACTAGTCCTTTCCCAAGGCAGCGAAATCCCCCACAAATTGTCAAGTGACATCCAGGAGCTTCTACGCAGTTGGGCCACGATATGCACTGGGGCCTCCTCATGTGCCAATATAGGACCATTCATTGGTACATTTTTGCAGGTCCGTTTTTCCCAGTACACTCTCAAAAAAAGCTTGATATTAAAGGCCGCACTGCACGTCTTGCCAAGACGAAATAGACCAAGTACTAATTTGAACAGGGGCAAAAATGAAAAAGGCCCACACATTGAACCCTGTGGGACCCCTCACCGAGCACAGAACAATTCCCCCCACCCCCCCCTTCATCAGTCTCATCAAGGCAAGATCTTCCAAGAAGCCAGTGTTCACTTGAGAAAATGTCTCTCGTTGGCAGGTCTCGACATGACTATAAAACGCAGGCGAGGGAGGAACTTTGGTTTGAGCTGTCTCACTCTTTCTCCTCTGACTAGATGTTCCCACTACCCCCTAAACACATGTGCCAGGTCTCATTAATTTTCAGAGACAAATAAAAGATTTCAAACTGCTCTCTCCATTTTCAAGAAATCCAGCACTTTGACGGGAAAAGAAAACAACTGAAAGCTTAGACAGGCTCACAAGCACTCATGCTATGTGATACAAGCTCCGAAAGGTAACAATTGTTCCAAATCTCAAACAAGTGACTTGCAATACAGCGCTCTCTAACACAACAGCATGCAAGGCAAAAGTCACAACATCAAGCATTTCTTTTTTTTCTTTTTTTTTCGTTTGAGTTGGAAACAGCTGGATGGCATTTGTCAGGTGAAATCCATGGACAGAGAACAGATGTGTGTGTATTTCAACAACATATCAGAGAGAAAGGCTTAGCCACACAGCCTTTTGAAGATCACTGGCACACAAGAGCTTTCACCTCTCTAGGCCCACTGGGTGGCAAGCCAGTTGAGCACTTCCAATATGTCATCCTTCTCCCTCTCGAGGCCTGGGACTGTCATGCCTAGCGCCTGCCACAAAGACTCCACCTTAAGGTGAGAAAAACTCAGAAAATGCATAGAAAAGTTAAAGAAAGCAAAACCACTTTCTTTAAAATAAGTGTAACACTGATAAGAAAGTGGGGCTCATCAATGGCATACTGACCTAACCCACGGGAGGCCACGTCTGTAGCGATAAGGATTGGAGCTTTGCCATATCTGAACTCTGATGGGAGAGTATTTAATTCAATTACAGATCAGCATGCAACAATAATTCTGAATTACATATATATTTTTAAAAACACATTTGCAATACGATTTATTAAATCTCACCATTAAGAACCCAGTCCCTCTCCTGCTGGCTCTTGTCTCCATGAATTCCCATTGCTGGCCACCTGAGACAGAGAGATTGAACAAGTAGAGCGATGAAAGAACAGTTATCATTCACCACAGCCTATTAAACCCCTTTGAGGGGACAGAAGAGGAGTTCCTTACCCATCTCTTCTCATCCTCCTGGTGAGCTCATCACAACGCCTTTTGGTCTCCACAAAAATAATGGTCTTGTTCTCCTTTTCGCTCATTATCTCCTCCAGTAAACGGATCAGTCTGACAAAGAGACAAAAGAAGATTGAGACAAAACTTAGTTAAATAAAGTTAGTTTGCAACTGCAACAGACAGACTACTGGCTGATTAAAGTACTGTTACATATTGAGTTGAATTGAAATATAAAAGTGACACTGACGTAAGTAGAGTAAAGGACTGATTTAAAATTGAATAAATAATTGGTTGTTTAACTACTTTCCTATTCAATCAAGGTCTTGAGAGGCAGGGATAACCTGAACCTGTATGGCCAAGTTGATTGATACTAATGATGGAGTAGAAGTCATCTACTCACTTGTCCTCCTTCTCCATGTCATTGCAAACA